GCCCGATGTACTGTGATGGAAATCATTCAGGGCTAAGCGGCATCAAAGTTGCCGTCACCTGCCCCGATGCCCGTGAAAACGGGATTCACAGTGATAGAGAGCGTGGGTAGATGTGACAATGCCGTCAGGGATGTCCGATCTAGAACCCCTTTCCCCTTCTCGTATCCGTTGACCGCTTGTGACATTTGTCCTTGTCTCTGTGTGTTCGTCCCAGTCCACATTTACTTAAAATTAAAATAAAAACTTGTCCCAGTGGTGCGTCCTAGCACTTGGGTATCGCGCACATCACTGCTCATGAACAGCCTAGTTTTTCTTCAATAATCCCTTGGTGGACATGAATTATATTTGCTTATTATAGATTAAATGTCCCATTCGGGAAAGTTGCAAAGATGCGTAACAGCGAGAAGTATATCCCTCACTCTGATGGATTTCTCGCACACTTAACATTCCAACTATATCCTACAGATATCGCTCCAAGTTCAACCTCTGCTCCGATTTCACCCGAGTGCTCATTTAGGCCATTCTAGGGATAACATTTGCAGAGTCCATTCGTTGTGTTCTCACCGGGCCGGCGCGGGCAACGGCATGGGTGTTTGAGGAAAGGGGGGGGGGCGAGAATAGCCTCATCCAATGGGAACATAAATAACCTCATCCGTTTGTATGCTGAATCGAGAATAGGATCCTTGCTGTAAATAGTTCCGAACTCATGCCGCACAAGTGTGATTGACTTCAACTCCGCAAACTATAAAAAGCAATAGCCTTCTCTTGTGGAGTCACCATTTCACTTTCAAGAAGCTGAAAAATAGTTTTAACAATTCATTTTAAATTTTATAATGCAAGTAAGGAAGCTAGAAATATCACGCTTATTCGCCGCAAGCCACATATATACAGTGAGGGACAAAACTGTTGCAGTGTTCGACACATTGCCAGTTTATGACTCATATCTCGAGTACGACGTGTTCAATTTAGCTTCAATTTCATTCAATCATACTCCTACTTCCTGGCTTTCGATTGGCGCTAGTCACATGTAAATTGGTCTCCTACTGTCCAAGTGGCAGTTGTTCAAAGCGAATGAGGTCATTGCAACAGTTTTGTCCCTTTCACACATTATCCGAAAAAACGAATTTAATAATACTTTGTGTGCTTGCCTTTGGCCTTCAACGCTGCCTGAACCCTTAAAGGCATGATTTCAATCAAATGCAAGAATGTTTGTACTGGAATGGCGTCCAACTCAGTCTTGACCCGCTGCAAGAGCTCGTGGATGCTGACGGGCTCATTCTCGTACCTCGCCAGCCTCTGCTTCAAATGTTGCCATAAGTGCTCTATTGGGTTGAGGTCTGGCGACTGTGCTGGCCATTCTAGGACCTCGATTCCATGGTCCTGGAACCATTGGCGAGCCAGCCGCGAGGTGTGTTTCGGATCATTGTCCTGTAGAAACACCACCTCTCCCACTTCGAGGCGGTAATGCGTAAGTGTCTGGAGCAATTTTCCCCCGAGGATGCTTATATAGAGCCTGGCGTCCATTCTTCCTTGGATTTGACAGCCAAACCCGACTCCCTTCGCCGTCATGCAGCCCCAAACATCAGGCCACCTCCACCCTCACGTGCCGCTCTGCTAGGGCTTCGCCGGGCTGTTTCCATGTCCAATCACGCCCATCCGACCTCATAAGGTTGATTATTGTCTCGTCTGTCCAAATTATGCGTTTCCAGTCCTCTACAGTCCAGTGTTGGTGGCGGCGGGCGAATTCTAGCCGCGACTGGAGTTGCGGCTTCTTTCGTTTGGTTGTTACCCTCAGACCAGCTTCTTTCAGAGCTCTGCGAACAATTTTGGCACTGCATTCTACCGAGGTGCTGCTTTTGAGTTCCCTCGTCGCTTGCACTGCTGTGTCAACCTGACCCGATGTCACCATCCTGATGACTCTGCGCTTGTCGGCGGCGGAAAGCTTGGATGCACGCCCAATATTGCTCTTTGATACGTCGGGTCTGACTCGAGAACGCACCCGGGATACGGTGTTATAGCTTATGCCAAGCTGGATTGTAATTCGACGCGTCGAGAGGCCATGGTCGACGAGTGAGGCGATGCTGTCGCGAGTTTGTTGGGAAACAGGTTTCATGTTGCCAGGAACGTTCAAACAGAACCCAACCCCACCCAAGCCTACCACATCTACTCCTAGGCAAACTACAGGCTTGCTTAGGTGGCGTCTGGCCAGGTTTCATTTGGGAAATGGGAGACTGTGAGGGGTTTTTTATATCGTGGATGGAATGCGTGGGACGTAGGGACAAAAGTATTGCAATGACCTGGTTAGCTTTCAACAGCTGCAGCTCATCCAATAGGAGGTCAATTGACATGTAGGTCAATTGACATGTGACTAGCACCAATCCAAAACCAGGAAGTTGAAGTATGTTTGACTGAAATTTATGTAAAATTGAACTCGTCATACGCGAGTTATGAGTCATAAACTGGCAATGTGTCGAACATTGGAACAGTTTTGTCCCTCACTGTATATGTAGCTTCATCCGTTCATGATTTATTAAAGATTTAGGTTGTATTCATATTCAATGAACACCCTGTATTTTTTTATTCATAGAAACTGGGAAGGGTCTTCGAACTTAATCGCGATTGTTCTGTTTGACTCTATGGTTATGACAACCCTGGTAAAAAGTAAATAAGTATCCTCAGAGCACCAGGTCGAATGCGGTCTTGTGTTCCAGGCGTCTCTTTTACCTCTGCTTTCCCTCTTGGCTATTCGAGAGCTGCTGTCCAGAGGTTCATGAAGTGGGCTTCTGTCTAGCTTCTCCGAATAGCCCAAACAATGTTGAATGTGACTTGGGCGCGAACAGGTCCAGACGCAAGGGATATCTCAATTCCAGACCAGTTCAACGAGACTCCAGATCACGGCACCAATAGACCGACTGATGTTTGCCTTCAAGCTTAAGGTACTACGGGAACATAAAAATCGACCCCCCTGGATCAAAATTCCGCTCTATAATTGTTGTAAGGGACCTCAAGAAAGGGCCTTGGAGCCGATTGCTGACTCTCTCAGGTCACCCCCGGGGCCATGAAGTGTGGTCAAAGGTCAAAATTTGCATGCTTCTCTTTGAAAATCTCCATCTCCCCAACCCTTGGTCGCAGAAACGTGAAATTTGCACCATTCTCCTTGAGACATACAGCGCTATATGGAAAAAATAAATACTCGTATGCAACTGTCGTTCCCGAGACGCCATGACGCCATAACTGAGAATTTTTCTGTTTNAAAATCTCCATCTCCCCAACCCTTGGTCGCAGAAACGTGAAATTTGCACCATTCTCCTTGAGACATACAGCGCTATATGGAAAAAATAAATACTCGTATGCAACTGTCGTTCCCGAGACGCCATGACGCCATAACTGAGAATTTTTCTGTTTTCGGATTCTGTTTTTTCGTTCTCATTCCTCATAGAAATTTTCTATCGGCAAAAGCATGCTCCAATTTTTGGAGGCTAATATGGTCCACCTTTTTCCGGAGTTGCGCATGGTTTCCTCCTACCGTTCCCCCTCAGTGTTCGGTGATCCGCCTGAAAAATCCACTTTTTTTGGAAGGGACGTGACGTTGACGGACAATACTCGAAAACGAGGCTGAATTTCAAAAATTCCTCTGGTAGATCTCTTTAAAAGTCTCTTGGCTAGCTTAATATATCAATACATTTTCATGGGAATCCGTCCACTATCCTAGAAGCCTATCGAATTTTCCTGCGATTTTCGTCGTTCGTCGCAAAAACTAAATCCAATAGAGCTTCCTCGCGAGTCGGTTCATTTACGTACTCAACGAGAAGAGCATCCTGAACCGCAACGAGAAATTCCCTATCACTTTCACACCCCCCCTCGAGGCACCGACCAATCTATGCTAGGCATGTTAAAATCTCCGAAGAGCAATACCTGCTTCGAGATCTCGCCGATCCTACGCATGAGTGGAAAATAGCTGCTTTATCCTCGATAGAAGAGTTAGGGGGCCTACAGTAAATTCCTTGCACCATCTTCCCAGTTGCCCCACCGATCTCGCACCATAAAAGTGTTCGATTGCTCCACAGTTGGGCGTTCGCGTCAGAGAAGATCTCACCTCGACTAAGTTCGGTTTTAGCGTACAATACGACTCCTCCCCCCTTTTTGCCGAGCCTATCCTTCTGCAAGATGTCGTACCCTTCTATCTCGAATTCCTTATCCAAAATGTGAGAACCTCCCCAAGTCTCGGTTATTCCGATGACGTCGAAACCGTTGTCCAGTGCCCGCCAACTTAGCTCGTCCATTTTATTACGTAAGCTGCGTGCATTCGCGTAGAAACACTTGACTCTTTCCTGGCTTTCCTGCTCACCGGTACGCGGCGGTCTAAAGCTGCTCGTGGTGGCTGTCCCTTGCTTGTCATCCCTTGCCCCCCCATCTACAACCGTAAAAAAGGCTCATTTTCCCCCATACGTGAATACTCGCTCCGGAAGTATTCAAAAATGGTCCGTCTCAATCGAGTGTCTCTCCCTGAGACTTGTTTGTGGTCATACCGTAGCAAGCAACACAGGGAACTGACGTCGACAAAGAATGAAACTTAAGTGATGTCGGATGACATGTCCAGTGAAACTCTTCGTAGAAAATAGCACAACCATGAAGCACACCCGTGATCGCCTCAAATTGTATGTGGTTTGCGTTAACGTCTCTAATGATTAAACAAATGCTGTTGCAAAGTCATTCCCACTCAAGCGACAACACAGAAGCATTACAATAGCTTCAATTTTAAGTGCAGAGGGAGTCCCGCAGGTTGAGGGTATCGAGGAATCGGCAGAATAATTAATCTGCCTATCGGCATCTTCGCCATGATCTTCACTGCTATCCCCATATGCCTTTCCCATGCACCTACCATGTCTTAAGTCGCTTTTTTAGACTCAGAAATCCTATAAAAAGAAATCGTTGTTCCATTTGATCGAGGGTTCAGTTTCCCTTTTCACCCCTTTTCAATGTCCTCCATTCTTAAATATTCAGCGCTTTAAAAAATAACAATAGTAAAATCTATTGAAATCCGAAGATGCACTTGCAACATAATGGGAATTGCCGATTATAATCCCGAAATACAAAGCTTACGGTACTAAACTTACGGCATATAAAATCATCTTCAAAGTGGAACTGCTTTAGGCTGACCTTATTAGGTGTGTATTGGCTTGACCTACGTGAAGTATATGCATCTTAAATGCATATACGACAGAACAACTACTGTAGTGAAAAGGATTTAAGATGTAACAATTTAGAGGCCAAAGCCTACAACAAGGGCAGAAGAGTTGAGACTCAGAAGGTTCAAGTTGGCAGATGAGTTACAAAAGCAATTATTAGTCTGTGTTGTGACATGGAGTGTGTGGGGTTTCATGCCGAGCAAAAGTTAGGCATGACAATCGCTTTGCATCAGGATAATATAGATCCAAAAATGTCGTCGTGAAATACTCTAAATAGGAAACGCCTAGTGCGCGTATAGGATATGGGAAAAAATGACATTCAAATTTTGACCTAAATATCTCCGCTCACAGTTATTTTCGCGAAGCTTTAGCATTTAGGAGTATTTTCAATTGATACATAAGGGATTACCCAAATTTATTAAGCCAAAGCAATACATCGACCATTACTGCATGTAAATTAGATCTTTAGAACGGACAAGATCTCCTGGAGGTACCGGCATGGAGGAAACACTCAGGCGTTGTCCTTATTGGCCATCCAAACCACGTCGAGCTCTTCTTCCGTTCAAATTCCTTCCGATGGATTGGTTATCTTGTACTGATATTTCTCATGTGGGTATTCTCATTGAATAGCAGATGAATCAATGAATATTAAAACTATACATTTTCTCAAAATGCATTCAGAATTTCCCTTGTTTTATTTACGAAATGTCAATTCCATAGTATACGGTATCTTTGGCAAGCCCGATATAGACAAGTGAAATGTATAATGAGACTTTTAACTTAATCTGAATAAATGAATTTTTTCAGACATTTGGACCTTCTAATGAGACACTAAAACTTATATTTTTTTACATGCCTTACAGATTGAAACTAATAAAAAAAGGGAAGTTATAAAAGAACGTAGTCAAAACGTCTTAAAGAATAATTCATTTATTCATCTGCTATTCATTGGAAATACCCTCTTGAAAAATATATGTAAGAGATAACCACTCCAATGAATTAATGAAAATGAAAGAGTTTGAATTGGTCTAAATCACCAGGAGGGACTGCGCTCAAATATTTCCTACGGGTCCCTTCCGCCGGGAGCTCTTGTCCATTCCCAAAATCTCAAAGTAATTGCTGATGGTAGGTCAATGGTTTATAAAATTGGGTGAAGTTTTAAGCATCAGAGGGAAGTCTGTTGAGATATGGAATGTGTATGTTTCGCGAAAATAGCTTTGTTGTGAGCGAGGATATTTACGTGAAAAGTATTTGCTCTTTTTTGCCATATCCGCTGCAGTCCATGAGCATGGGAACGAGCAGTGCAGAGATGGGTGAATGTTAAACCATAGAGCATGGGGCACAAGGCAACACTTACGGAAGTACCTCGTAAATCAAGCAAGATGTCATGAAGATCGCATGCATATCTCCTCAAATAAGTTAAAGTTTTTCAATAGCTTTAGATCATTTTCCTTATTTTCTATTCCGTGTAATAAGAAAACGTGAAAATCTCTATTTAAATTGGAAAGAAAAATGGGCATAAGAGGATTTGAAGGCCTTCTTTTTGAGATCGGAATTTGTCGTAGCCTTCGTTGCTGTACTTTTGGGAGCACCGTTTGACGCAATACAGATTCTGCTGTGATATTTTGTTTTCTTGCCGCGCGCAGAATTGCAGGGGAAAAATCAGTGAGGCACCATGCACTGAAGGCGATATAGCGGTGGAGGTACGTACCCCAATCAAGAAAAATGTTGGGACATTCTTTTCCTTCCAGGTTGCTTGTCTCTTCGCTCATAAAATAAAAAAAAACAGGATGAATTATCAATTTCCTGTGTTCCTCGCGTTCAAAAAATGTTTATTCTTTGCACACCGTGAGAATTTCCTCCAATGAAATATGCCATTCGTCGGGACACTCACGGTTCTCAGATGTGTTGGATCATTTCGTATCTTGACCTTAGTCGGGTAGTACAATCTCCCCAACGAAGTATCATTACAAATGTCGCATTTCCTTGCGTTTGAAGAAAGAAATAGTACAACCCATCGCTGGATTGTGGGATGCGTAATTACGCGGAAAAAGATGGAATCTGCTTAGCCTCACCTCATCTCCAAATTGTTTCAGTCCATATGGAGAAGGACCAGACAACCAGATGCCTAATTCATTCATTTCTATGGGGATATACGAAGGGAGAAAAGTCCTCTGAAATCGACGGATTTCAAATTTATTCTGCGTTAATTTTGTCGTTTGACTCCGTATTGACATGATAATCTAAACGTGAGAACTATCATGCTACCATTTGAGACTTCCCCAAAGAGAAAAAAGTATAAGAGATTGAGACTTTTCTTCGGAAACATCGGTTTCTCCTGATTCCCTGATCTTGTCCACAGTTTTGCTCTGTTCTATTGATTCAGAAGAATGTAACCATGTAAACTTAAAACGTATAAGAAGTACACAGTTGTAGATTTCAAGCGAAAGGAAGTATGGATGCAAACCTCAGAAGAAGCTACGAAGTTTGCTCAAATTTGTCCTTAAAAAGATTTCAATAATAAGTAAGCAAGTATTTTTCGCATGTGCACTCTGGCAAACCAAAGAATTCAATTAATATCTATTCTGAGCAACTTTATGGAAGTAGTTTTGGTTGGGTTAGGCTTGGGGAGGCCTACTTACGGTCTTAAACATGTTCTGGCCTATTTCATAACTTTTAAATGAAATTAACACTAAATAAAAAAAAACAATAGCTCCCATGCAGATGTGAAGGATTTCGAAAGCTTACATTACATTAGATTAGGTTCATAATTTATCAATATTTCCAATGGGTCGATCGAAATTCCTTCCAAATCGAAACAAGTGGATCGTCCACTTCCTTAGTCACTTTGACTTCGCCTGGAAATTGGAAGACCAAAGTGAGATATGATCTATGAGGTGATCCATGTGATCTATATCCCTTCACTCATTTTTGCTATGAATACATACTCCAAAAGAATATGCATTCTTCAAATGCGGGAACTTGAAGGAATCAAATGGAACTGCATTGTAACATATCTTAGCATGACCTAATCCATCGTAGCTTCTTCAAGCTCTTCAAATAAAAAAATTATGCAAGGGAGACCTGCTGATATATTAATACCTGCATTCTGATTAAGGGTCAAAATTTACGTGAACCTGAGAGTCTGACACAGCCAAACCAGGGGTTCCTGACTTTTTTGCACCTACGTACCCCACAGATCCTCAAGTATTACCCATAAACCCCCACTCCCGGTTATCAGAAACTTCGGAAAACCTGGACTCGTGATTAAAAATTGTTTTCAGGAGCTATATTTAATTATATATTTAATTTTCCATGGACCCTTCACGGACACCCTGGACCTACGCCATGGCCCCCCTGGGGGTCCATGAACACCAGGTTAAGAAGCCCTAGCGTAGACCAAGGAATACTATAATGAAGTTGCAATTATCATTGGAGAGATGGAGAGGAGACGGCAGGAGGTGACGGTTACGAGAAGTTATACTTGAGTTAAAGGTCAACGTTAGCCATTAGTGATTTTGGGATTACAAACACGCTGGAATGGCTCTGTGACATATAATATGCTGTACTGTACTCTCGGTAGAGAAAACTATCTGCTGTAATAAGAAAATCTTTCTGAGAAAGGATGTGTACATGAATTTGTTTTAGTTGGAGCGACCATCCTTCTAGGGTGGAGGTGCACAGACTCTGAGCCCTTTTTTCGACCCCTTGAATGTCTCTGTGTTTTAAGGATCCATATTTATATGCGGCCTATTTCGGTTCGTGTGCCTTAGATGACCCCAGGCTCGGGGACTTTTTCTGATGTGAAATGTATACACCATCAGGAAAAGAAGCAAACGCACTGGAACAGATTCTGAAATTTCATTATTATTGATTTCCCTCCTTCTAACGGTGCTGTCCTCTATGACTACAACTCTGCACAAGCACAGGATGTTGCAAGAAGTGAGCCAGTGAAGTATGATAACAAAACTGAGTATGTTAAAAAATTCATATTTTAAGACGTGATTGTGTTTAGTATAGTTTAAAACTTTCCATTCTTAAAAGTAACTCTTTCCAATACCGCACATAATTCCGTGTAGTTATATTACTGAGACACAACATATTTATTAATTTCTATTCAACTTACTAACTATTCAAATCCCTTGGAGTAGGTAACCAATGCCACTGACCTTGAACTGATCCATCACATCAGGTTCTTGGCTAGGTACATACGCTCTTGGCGACGTAATATTGCTCAGTTCACTGGTACAAATTTGACACTCCCCTCCCTGCAAAAGAGGTGAATCTATGATACTTCTTATCCAAATATTTCAATTATTTTATCATCCTCCATAACTTCATAATATCGATTTCACCACAACGTTGACAATGCAACCCAATAGAGTCACTCGCTTTGCCAAGTTTCAGTAGTAGTTCTTGCATTGAAAGTGCAAAGTGCCACAGGACAATTAGGAAAGTTTATGAATTTCACCTCCAAATATTACATTTATCCCTAAAACTCAACTGAGGATCCAGGTGAAGTGCGGATATTGTGAAAAAAGTTTGAAGTACAAGTCGAGATTTGATGAATTTTTTAGTAAATGAATTTCTTTTACTTAAAAAAATTCATAGTCGCGAGGTAGTAAATTAATTGGGATTGGAAGTGGGGCAATGGCACCAGTAAGAAGAAAAAGAGGCGTAAACGCATGAAAACATGCTGTAGTCATGCAAATCCGAGGACTTTGAGGGTCAATTCATGAGGTCGTCGCATCCTCACTTTTCAGATTTCTGCTCATAATGCAGCAGTAACTGGCTCGTGGAGTTTGGAGGAAGCTCCGCTCGACTAAAGCTCCTGAATCATGCGTGCATTGGGCGGAGCTTCTCAGTGAGGTCAAAACGGCATGTATAAAAGGGAGCTTCCCGGCCAGCCTCCCTTTTTCTGACTCCAATTGTCGGGGAAGCATGTTGGCAGCGTTGTGCTTCCTTACCCTGACTGGATAGCCTGCCTGCATCAACTGCTAATACATATACTTTCAATTCATACTATAGGCAGTTATTTCACCCCTCCTCCTTTTAATGAACTACTTCATCATGATTTCCCTGGCTTCCTCCTTACCATGAAAAGAAGTAGTGGGAAACCGTGCAAAAAATATCCGAATCGTTACTCAACGCATCGGAAATTTGATCTTATAATCGTTCATGTCATGCCTTTCCCACAAAAGGGGCGCAATATCGAAATTGCTGAAAGCCTTTGGTTCACCAGCTGTACCCAAAACAGCAAACGTCTGTTCGTATCATTTTATGGTATTTGGTATCATGAACGATTTCTGCAGCAGAAAGGGCACCTGCAGAAAGATACTGTAGCCAAGCTCAATGGAGGACGCGAGTATAAATATTCACTGAACTGTTTCAATCAGATCATTCCATCTCCCTCAGGAATCGCCAAATTTCTACGTATGTTGAAGCCACAGTTTCATATTCTCAGTTATCTGCAAGGCCATATACCTCTACTGAAAATCCGGACTGAGTTCCCCATCACCCAACGATGGTCTTCCCAACATGGCTTAGGGATGTCATGATGTTGGAATGAGAGATTTCATCACAACATAGGGATAATAGAGTATGTCCCATGAATCACTATACCATTTAAAAAAATCATATTTATTAAATAGTTGATACAAAAAATAAATAGCAATGACTAAACAATAGCATATCATTTGGAATTACCTTTGCTAAAAAAAGGGAGATATTTCTGATGTTTGAAAGTGCCTCAACATGTCCTCCGCCTACATTAATGCATTTGGCATGAGGCTCATCACCAAATGGTCTCCGACACTCCCGTTGAACTCTGATGTTCTCAGGTGTACTGAGAAGTGTTTGTTCTTATCACCCGCTGGACAAATTATCATATCGGCTAATGGCATTAGCACATGTTTCATGTTGATAGGGTTTAAGTAAAATGTCATTAGATATTACATGTTCCCTTCACGCTTCTTGCGTCGAGCTACACTGAAATCTTACAAGAATTCTATACATGGTATGATTACAACACATTTTAGCCTCACATTTATGAGCGAACGAGGGATCAGCTTACCGAAGGACCAACGGGTTGAGCTGCTATTCCCTGAGCTGCCAGCGATAAAACTCCCTGAGATGCCAGTGGCGAACCTCCCTCCCATTCTGCGCGAAGACAGGAAGGAGATATGTTATGCCACAAAAGATGAGCGATGTATCCTGCCATCTCGATGTAAACAAAATCCGAGTTGGAAATTATGTAAATATCAATTGCAATCATGTTCCTCTTACTGAACCATATCTACCAATGGTTTCGGATGAATACATTTTTATTGTGTCTAATAAGTCTGGTATCACCTTTTGAAAATTATTTCACTGAAGATGCAAGCACTGACAGATAAAATTCAATGTAGGAAATCAAACAATTTTGCTTCACGGAAACACAATGTACTCTCTTCATCCCCCAGTGTTCCATTACTTCTGTCACTCCAGATAGATTCTCATTTTAGATTCCCTCGTATTTTTCTAGTTTGCATGCCTTTACTTTATTTCCAGCGCTTTTAAAAATTAAGGACACTTCAAATTATATTCGCCTAGCGTCAAAAAGAAGCGAAACAATTTAAAATATGCATTATACTATTGTTATTTGAGATCGCAGACCCGACCAAAAAATTAGATGTGGCGTCACCTAAGTCACGAACCGCGTATGGAGAGAAACTGCCCCCAAAATCAAAATATAAGTTTGATTGGAAGATGAAGTGCACATAGGAGAAAAAATATTCCCAGAGGAAGTCGGAAATGACCAAATTTTGAATTTGATGATGGTTCTATATGGAGCATGCCTACAAAAGCTCATATTCGCTATTAACATATGGCCCACATCTCACATTTGAAATTGAATTGTAAAAGGCATGCCAAAAAGGATATATGACTTTTACCCTTAAAACCTCAGCAGTCTTTGCAAAATTTCATTATGCATAAAGGAACATGTTTCCAATTGTTCCTCAAATTTCCATCTGAATTCGCTGGGTAAAAGTAATACCATCAGCAAATATTTCGGGAAAAAAAAACATTAAGAATGAATAAGAGCTCCTGCTGATGACCGAGTGAAGGATACATATCTCACAAAATGTGCTGGGGATGAATGCATTGGTTTATTTGAAAGTTGAGAAGGCTTCCAAAATCCTTCACTTAAGGGAAAAATTAAACATGATCTATGATAAATTGACATTTTAAATGGGCAATTTTTTAGAAAGCCGAGATACATTTTGAATAACTTTGCGGAATCTCCCTGGAGTGATACTTATCATTGATTCACCTGCTATTCATTGGAATGAGCTTATGAAAACCTTTTGCAAGAGATGACCAGTCCAAATAATGAATTCAAGTGGAAGAAGAGTTCGATGTGGTCTTGACGGCCGGAAGGGACAGCGCTTGAGTAATCCTCCACTCCAATGCCAGGAGGAGCTCTTGTCCAATACCAAGTTTTTTTTCAGTAATTGCTGATGGTATCGCTTCGGCAAAGCAAATTGATGATTATACCCTCTGTGAAATTGAAATTGCCCCACCTAAAAGCAGTGGATAGATTCGTCTGAAACGCGGCACATGCGTACGTTGTGGTGATAACTGCCAATGATTAAACCGCCAGACCTGGCACGTGACACATACGGATTTGATAGAGCGGAAACTCAGGTGTCACTGGACAGTTGGAGGTACGCGTTCGACTGGCAGTAATCACACAATACACTCGACTCCAAAGGATCACAATATAGTAACGCTATACTGAAATCAGTTGGATACGCACTCATGTATGCATGGCAAAAGTTGGACAAAAAGGCTTCATATGTAGCTAAAATATTCATGGTGAAAAGTATTTGGTCTTTTTTTGCCGTACATTATAGTCGTTACGTTAGCCCGAAGAGAGTGCGCTATCTGAGATAGTGTCATTATGCTGAGAATGGAAGGCATGTTGAAATCTTAATAGGGGACAGTTTTTAATTTGGTAATCCTCTGAAGGAAGTTGACATTGGAAAATGGGTCTGCTAATCTTCAGGCAATCACAAGGGGGAATAAAGGAGATATGCACTACTACGAGAGCGATCTCAACATGATTTACTTCGATAAATCGAATTTGTCTCCCTCAAAGAGAGGTCCTCAGCTTTCAACATCATGTCCTGGTTTTCCTAGCCACTTTCACTATCACTGAATTTATTTGCATTTACTTATAATCTATTTACCTATAAGTTATAAGAATTTATTAAAGATCTATTATAGTGCAATATGCACGTGTTTTCAAGATTTCATGCACTCTCGAATTAAATATGAGCCATGAATAAACTCAATAAAGCTAAAACCACCTACGGGCACGAACTTCTCTTGTGTAAGCTTCATTTTTCTGACCCAGGGATTTTAGTAATGTCTCGGCCAACTTTCGGTGGTTCTTCTTAAGGCACTCCAGAAATGCTAAAAAGGCGCCATCCCCTGCAGTGGGGATCTTTTCGAGAAGGAACAACGCCTGCTTCCTTCTCTTTTCCCTGGTCTCATTCATCAAGCCAAGGAATTCATCATTCTTGATTACTCCTTTCATCAGCAGGCATAGGAGAATCTCCTCAAGATCGGTATACTGTTGAAATGTTTTGAGGTGCTCTGCCATGACGGCAGATACTGCATCACCAGGAGTCGCCATAGCGTCTCAATGTGGCCACTGAAACCGTTTTGCTCTCCTGCACCTGAAAATAAGCTCACATCAGGATGATATGATTCCCTGATAATGAAATGAGGAGACATTCCTAGTCGAGAGTCTTGCAAAGATATTCTGCGTGGAATATCCCCTCATTTCAGCATTGTATTTTCAGGATTGTGGCTCTGTGTATCAAATCGGCAATGCCATTTATTTTTCACTTGTCAGAAAGTTTATAATCTCACATTACGTGGCTTTTAGTGTGTGCGAAAATTGGCTGAAAATTGCAATGCGTTGCCTAAAGCACCTACACTCGCGCTAACAACTTATATACTACTACGATATGTGTGTGAGGGGAAAGCACCCATTGGGCTTCTAAGCAAAATGTTCTTCTGTAATACAAGATTATCAAAATGAAATACGTGGAAATATAGGAAATGAGAACAAAAATACGTAACACAATTTGAATTGCTTTTTTTTATGTACCAAGTGGAAAGACTTTTTGCTTCCCCTCAAAAATTCCCTCTTGTAATTGTTTATTTATTTAGTACCTTTTGTAACACAACTATAACGACCGATATGAGAAAGAAAATGCCAGGTTACAACTCTGCTGTAGAAAGAAGTGCTCCTCTCGGAAGAACTCAAGTATTATTCTTCATGAAGTCAGCTCCTCTAGAACAAAGTGCATATACCAGTACGAGGTATTCCTTGAGGTATTCTTGAATATTCCCTTATTCAAAAAATTGAAATCTCTGGGCAGTCACGCTGTATGTGATGTCAATATTCGCGGATTCCAGAAGGTTTCTTTGTTAAGTCACTTTGCTTCCTGCATGATGAGCCATGGTTTACCCTATAAAATGTGTTGCCTGTTGCGTTTTAAACCACTAAGAAAGCCCTATCATGTAAAGTACGTCAAAAATTGGAGTTATTTCACCAATCAGGCATCATCACAAGAAATTTTTCCTTGATGTAAGATCCCCTACAGGAAAATGTAAACAATTTGAAGCTTTTCTGCTCTTGTGGTGGCTAGGGTACCGTTGAAAATTCCCCCTTGGAAATTTGCCCTTCACAGGTAATTTTCCAAGGGGGGGAATCACCTTTTGTTTCACAGCTGCAATGACCAACATGGGGAAAAAAAACCTTGAAGCTAAACTCAGCAGCTATTAGGTCTTTCCGTGGAATGTTCCCAAGAAAAACTATTATTTCTCAAATCAGCTCCCCAAGAACAACTTATGCATCAAATTTATGGTTATCATCACATCTGGGGCATACGTAATAAATGTCAGTCACTCCCTCACTTACTGATGAATTTCTATATTCTATATTCCTGTCACAGGAAACTTCATGAATGACAATAACTCTCATTCACAGAATGCAGCTAATGTTTTGGAAAACAGCATATTTCAGAGTCTCAGTCGCTGGATTAGCGGAGACCACAAAGAAACGAGACGAGTTCCGCTCCAAAGTGGTGTTCCACTACACAAATGAAGCAACGACACCGTTGCTTAATTTCATGAGGGTTCCCTCATTTCACCATTGTTTTCCGGAATTTGTGAAGGCAATAACGTGAGAACTACTTTACAAGGCTTTCTCCTTTCCTCATCCCTCCATTCCTTAGGCATTATGCCAATTTCCATTTTCTGAATCACCGAATTTCACCTCAGTAATGGTAAATTGTGAGTAATCAGAAGAGACGTCGGGATTTTGCAGGCCTTGGCCTAACCCTAATACCGACTTCATGTCTAGCCAAGGCTTACCATGTTAACGCCATGAGAATTTCTCGATGGTGAGTCTACCTCGTGATCTTCTAGGCATTTCCATGTGTAATGCAACATTAGGTGTATGTTAGGCCTATCTCGAGTACCCAGAATATATTAGAAAAGTATGTCAATAGACAGACTTCCTTGAATTCATGTCGGACGCCATCATCTGCACTAATTTCCGTGCACGGTACTTTTGCACTGCATACTATTATTAATATTAACCTACATGACATTGACCGGCCGTCGCTAACCACAATTTAAATGTATTGTAATCCTTGACCGCAGGGACTTTCAGAAGCAGCAGGACGGCCTACCAACGTCAACTTTTATCGATGGCTGACAGTTTTAGGGTGAATAGCTTAGTCCACACACGCTCTTTTGATTTAACAACATAAGACAGAGGCACCGACACTAGGTAGAGTGAAAGCAGACACGGCCATTAAACCGACAGAACTCCAGTCCGATATCCGGCATCCGTGGTGGACGAGAATGGCGCCCGCGCGATAAGGGAGCGTCTATTTCGTTTCCCTCAAGGAAATCGCGCCAACCTCTCACATCGGAAGTGCCACTAGCCTCGCACCTCGCCATACGAGTTCATATCTTCAAGATAGCCCAGCTATCTAGTCACTCATGATTCATGCTCTGAAGGCATGAATTTTCTTTTCCTCCCAACCAGAGAAAAATATTGATTCAAATGTTTCATGCAGTGACTTTGCATACAGAGCGTGAGATGAACGCCCAAGTTCATTCTCCCAAATTCTCGAGTGGAATACGGGGGGAAATTTTGTAGCGGGAAAGAATTGAAGAAAGCTAATGTTTGGGCCTACTGGCTGGAATCCTCGCCTATGCTTAGCTAGTCGGTAGACGGAGGCATGCATGAGTCGAAGAGAGACGAGAAGAACCTGTTTCTTCTCTACACAAGGCACAGAGGCATGGCAAGCACGGAGGAACAGATGAGGGAGACGGGATTCCGCTGGGCAATACAAATGACGCGAGCGGGATGGGGAGAGGCAGGCTTTGACGACTCAAGGACGGCAAGGAGACATCTGTTGAGTTCTACTGGATACATTATTGGAGCAGAGAGAGGAAAGATGTGCCCAACTGAACAGGGCATCGTTGGAATCTGCTCGTGGAAGAGCATGGAGACCTGGCCAAAGCCTCCTTCCTCTCATCTTAAACACCATCATCTGTATTCTTTGGAACATGCGCTCTTCCCCCCCCCCCCCCCCCCCCCCCCCCCCCCCCCCCCCCCNATGTGTTGGAAGAGGCCTCCCCCCCCCCCCCCCCCCCCCCCAATTAAGAAGAGCAACATTATCGGTATGGGTTTCTATATTAGTGAAGGATGGCATGCGAATGAAAGAACTTTTAAAATGTGGAGGCCGGTGGTTCCATTTATATGATTCATAGGTAGAATAACTGGGAACCTGTGGTCGAAACCGACCGCGTCTCTTCCCGAAAAATAGCACAAGCGGGTTCGCGAATGGAGATCCAATGGAGAACTGCAGAACGTTAAAGACCCCCCATTTGGGAAAAAATGAACTCATTCAGTGTCTCGATAGGGGAAGCCATGAACACCAAGAGGGTTTCGAAAGACCTGAGAATACTTGGATCTTGAATCAAGATTCATTATTGGAGGGTCGAGATGGAAAAGAGGATGAGCCGGAATTCAATTCAATATAATTCAGCATATGGCGCAGGTAAATTAATTACTAAAGCATTTGTGTTACGGCAACAAAAACCAGAAGTCAAGATGTTAAATTTTTGCACTTTATGACCCATTTCCTCACCACAGAATTTGAATCGTAAAAAATTCGCAAAGGTATCGTTCCTCAGTTTCATAAGTGATGACAATTCACCATTGTCTTTTGGAACAGGTGAAAGCAATAACATGAGAACTACTTTTCGAAGGTTTTCAACTTTCCTCTTCCCTCAATTTCTTAGGCATCATGACAATTTCGGTTTTTTGAGCGAAGCACCGAATATCACCGCAGCAATAGTTCATTGCTAATATTCAGAAGAGACGTCGGGGTTTTATAGGCCTTCGCCTGACCCAAACATCGGTTTCATGCGAAGCCGAGCCTTACCATTTTTACAACATAAGAGTTTCCCGATGGCGAGTCCACCTCCTGGTATTATAGGCATTTCCGTACATGACGTAACGTTAGGCCTATGCTAGGCATATCTCGAGTTCCCTGAATAAACTAGAAAAGTATATATGCGGACAGGCGTCCTTCAAAATCGTGTCGGACGCCATCACTTCCATGGATCCCATGCACGATGCTTTTGCACTGAATAGTATTATTAATCTACACTACATTTATCGGTCGTTGCTAACCACAATTTAAATATCACCATGTCCTTAACCTAAGAACTGCCAGAAGCAACACAGCGGCCTACCAACTTCGACTTTATAGTCGGTTGACAGTTCTAATATTAAGAGCTTCGTTCAAGCACACGTCATTCATTTAACAACAGAAGACAAAGGCACTGACACGAGGCATAGAAGAAGCCGAAGCAGCCATTGATCCAGCATATTTCCTGCGCGATATCCGGCATCATTGGTGGACGAGAACGGCGCCCGCGCGATAAGATAACGACATCTTCAGTTCCTTTTTTTTCTAGGAAATCATGCCAACCGCCACAAACGGAATGGTCATTCACCTCACACCTCGCCATATATCGGTTCATATCTCTAACGTGACCCAACTAACTAGTTTGGAAATCCTCATGGAGTGGTTTTTCTGAGTGTGGGGAGGAGGGAGATGGTGTGGGGTGGATGGTGGGGTGGATGGTGGGATTCCTGCTCTAAGGGCCATCCTCTTTTCTTCCCAACCAGGGGGAGATATTGCTTCAAACTTTTGTTCATCCAGTGACTTTGCGTTCAAAGGATGGCATTAACCCCCAAGTTCGTTCTCCTCGATTCTCAGAGGGGGATACGAAAGGGGTGGAATTAAGTAACGTGAAAGGGTAGAATAAATATAAGGAAGATGTCTTGGCTTGCTGGCTGGAACCCTTGCCTATGTTTAGCTGGCGGGTAGACGGAGGCATGCGTGAGGAGAAGAGAGACGAGAGGATCCTAACTCTTCTCAACACAAGACACAGAGGCGTGGAAGCCACATAGGAACAGATGAGGGAGACGTGATTCGGTTTGGATTTATTGCATTATATGTGGATTGCTAGACAAATGGTCATATGACCAAGTGTTCGTCCTTGTTTCCATCACAACCATTTTTTAAATATAAGAATGCAAATGCGAATAAAATAATTTCCCTGTTAACTTTTTCCTGATCCGTGGGACGAGTTAGTGCCGTCCCTTTCCCAACAGTTATGATATCTATTCGAATAGCAAACACATATAGATGTATTGCTAAGTTGTCGTAGTCCGAGATAAATCCAGAAGACGGCAGAAGCCTCGAAAACAGAAGCCTGCACCATAGCGTTAAACACACCACAAGCCCGTAAATGTTAGGAAAGGGACCACGTTAAGTCACGGGAAGGACAGGAAAAAGGCCAACAAAAAAGTTAATAAATGTGATTAGGGACCAATTTCTTATTTAATTAATCGTAAAAGTGTTCATAATTCAGATATATTTATTTAATGTAAGGAAAATGAAATTATTTATACCTCAACCTTACGGAAGAGACAAGGAAGAGTATGAAAGGTAACGCTGACTTAGAACCATTCAGAAAAGTCCATATGTGGAGAACATCTCATCATGGACTAACAGCGAATATGCATCAAGTATGAGGTAAAACGACGAAGCCCGAACACTTGAGGGTTAATTCGAACGCACGCACCTTGGGGCCGTGTGGAATGCACAATGTAGTGGCCATCTCATGGCTTGAGCGTTCGAGGCATCTTTCAGGCGTTCGGGTTTTTGTTGTTTTACCACGCATGTTCTGAACTGTTTTTAATTCCATTTCCGATGGGGCCCCTTTACTTTTCACAAAACAAATAAAGTTTGACTTTGCGAATGTGCAAACCTGTTCTTCACGAGTTTCCACCCATGCGATGATCTTCTGCTGGATCTAAATTATTCGGAACAAGAGTTTCTTCTGGTTTTCTGTATTTCCCATATAATTCGTAATTTAAGGGGCAAAAATGAACAATCGGCTGCTGACTCTAGCACAGAAAAATGAGCTTCGATAGGAAAAGGAAATGGCGTTGCAATTTAGTCGGATCATGGCGACGAGGATCAAGTTTGAGCGAAACCAGAAACTGTGACTTCCGTGCGTGTCATATTATATGCGCTCTGTTATGGGATAAGTGCGGGAGGAGGCTTAGAATCGCAAGGGGTATATTTCGAATTTCCAAAAGTTAATTAACCCTATGTAATTTGCTCTCTGCGTACTACTTGCTGGTGGAATCTCGAGAGTTTTCAACAGTCTAGGGAATTCCCTTGCTTGGAAAAATAAAATGCACCCCCCCTCCCCCCCCCCCCCCTCACCAAAAGCCCTAACTTCCACACGCAGAAATATACTCTTTAAGTGGGGAAAAAGTGCCCGTATACTAATTCATTGCACTCCATATTATTATTCGATCAATATATGTGTACCCTGCAATGCAATAGTAAGAAAGTTTCCCTACAACTATCTCCTGATTTTGTGGACGATCTCGAGATGTCATGAGCCGCATTCCATTCCGGTTGGAAATAGAAATGACGAATTTGAAAAAGTGCTTTTCAGAAGCAACCTGCATTCAAGAAAGCTTTCAGAAGAAGAACTCTCGAGGACAAAGAGACGAACGGACTAAACAAAGCTCATTACAATAGCTTAAGAGATAACTTTTTCAGTAATTCCTCATGTAAATGTTTTATGGAGAATTGATGGCAATGAAGGACGAAATCGAGGATTCCTGGGCTGCAGTCTCAATTATAATACGGCTCTCCATTGGATATACCCGTAACTGTGATAATATAACCCTTAGTTCCACTAATCGACCCACAGTATGCCTATTGTATTCTGTAATTTCTTTCC